GGAGCCGCAGCCGGAGCCGGCCCCGCGTCCCGCCACCGCTCCCGCCCCTTAAAGGCGCCGCCAGCCCCGGAGCCAGGGGGGATCCTTCCCGCCCTCCCTTCCCAGCCTCGTACCGGCGGTAAGGAGTAGGCGGCGAGGCGACGACAGCCTTCCCGCCGAGCCGCGGATCTCCGCGCCGGGAGCTGTCAGGGGACGGCGCTGCCAAGCTCTGTGTGGGGAGAGGAAGGCTGAGGTGCCTGTCCTGGCGCGGTCTGCACGGCACCGAGCACGGGCCGGCCCCGCGTCCCTACGGCCACCAGCAGGATGTCACCACAGGCCCCGACAGACAGTCACCACCCGACACAAGCAGGAGACCCACCCAATGCTCCCAGAAGGATGGTCTGGGAAGGCCAGCGTTAGCAAAGCCACGATGAAGCTGCATTTTGTTATTATAGCTCTAGTTCTCAAAAGAAAGGTAACATTCCAGAAATTCAAATTACAGCTGTTACAGACACTTTTTCTCCCAAATGTCTCCCACTGAAGAAGAGAGGCTAGCACCTGTGTTCAGCCTTAAAAAGAGAAGTTAGAATGTTTTCCTACCTTGGGGGTACATGGACTTAAGAGCAAACTGGAACGGACTCTGCAGATACCGCTGAGATCTCTATTCTCATCTCCTTCAGGGCAGGAAACGTAGAACCTACCATGGAGAGCTAGCCTACGTTCCCACCTAAAAAGTTAGGTAATGAAACTCTTCCTAGCAGCAAGAGGATCAGAAAAGAAAAAAGGTTCCACTCGGTATTGCTGTGTCATGTTTAACTAGACCCTACCTGCAGCAAACCCAAGTCTTTTCACCTGCAATGATTTCTCAGCTAAGTACTTCTTTCAGTTTTAACCATTCGTTTCCCAAAACGCAGAAAGAGTACCATATGGATTCCTGCCACATCTTACAAGACTGATTTTATAAACAAAAGAAATGCAAATAACGGAGTGCTCGCTTTGTACTGTCTACTGTACACGTAGAGTGTCTCATTATTTCCCAGTTCCTTCTCAGAGATGTATCTAGGAACTCCTGATGTACCCACACCTTGCCTGAGGCAGCGTTTACAGAGCTCAGTTGTTTGCTACAAATTACCAAATTTTGTGGGGCTTCTTACTACAACTTCTACTTCTTTTAGACAATTCTGAAAATGGTATCTGCTGTACCTGCTAAGAAAAAAAATGGAAAACTAGGAGATCACCAGCAAACCTGCCTGAGCACTGATAGCTGAAGTGTGTAAATCACAGCTGGCCTCCAGCAGAGCTCTCATTTTGTAACTGACATTTGCTTGCCCAGTGTACGATTACAGCAGAGTGCAGGAGTTGCTGGCAGATAAATATAGCTTTTCAAGACTACTTGCTGCCCTTGCAGATGAGGTCACATACATTTAATATCTATTTTAAACTCAGACACTTTTTAAGCATGCAGTGACCAGGGTCATCATTTTTTCCCACATTAACAGACATTTAGAGGAACTAGAAAAACATAATAGGCTGAATATTTTTAGTACCTCAAAGCTGTTTTTTATTGCTATTGCAGCTTAAACTTGGTGGACTTTAGTCTCCTTATTTCAGCTACCCTCGAAATAATTAATTGCTGTTAACAGTCAAGAGCCTAAAACAAAACCTTCATTTTCCTCAAATAATGTTACTTCCTTATCGCATATGAAAAGGCAGATTTTATTTTATATAAAGGAGTATAAAAACAGTCAGTAATTATTCAGAACAAGTATAAGATGAGTATATATAAAAATTTAAAAAAAGGGAAAGAACCAAATCCTTTATCAGGTGGCAAAATAAAATCATGAACCCCACCCCTTTATACTTCTCATGTCAAAACCACAAGAGTGTTCAATTAGGAACCTATCAGACCAATTTAACAAAGCAAGTTTCTTCTCAGTGGAACAGCATGTGCTGGAACTACATAACATGTTATAGAAAAAAAGAGCATATTTAGGGAAACTAGCTTTTATAAAACACAATTATATTACAACTGTCAGCTATATTACCGAACAGTACTAAATTTTATTGTCTCTCAATGTTTTCATGCCAATGTATTTTGTTAGACAGTATACGATGAATACTCTACTCTGTCAAAGGATTTTACATACTTACAGTGATTCCGTCCCTAAGCTATCACTATACATGTTTCTTAAAAGCCATTAGCAGAAGTGTGATATCAGAAATAAGTACTTATGTGATTCATTGGCTTTAACAAATCAAACTCTGCAAAGCATAAATGTATGCCAGCTTTTTGAGAAGGACAAGACTAGAAATTGTCTAGAAGCTGCCAAAAAAAATTCCTGGTTTAGTCTGAATGCTACCAAGGAACAGATCTCTAATTAGAACGTTTAACGTAAGAGGGAATGCACACAATTATAAAGCCATTCTTCCTGCTCGTTCAGCGGCATCACATGCTGAGAAACCTGTATACAAGAGAGAAAACAGAGGTGAAATAGAGGTGTTTATTGGAGAACTGTGTGTATGTTACCTGAAGTGCTATGTAAGCAAAATGAACTGTTTCAGTACTTTTATCACTAACATTAAATGACGAACATTCAGCACCTATAATGACAGCTGGTATTCAAAACTTACTATTGAATTTAATTGCATGACAGCAAAAAATCCGTAAGGGACACTGAGCCTACAATTTATACTGAAAGAAGCCAAAACACCTTACAGGATCAGGCTATAAGTATCAAAAGTGTCAGCAGCAATATTAGAATAGGCCCTAACCCTGCCAGTGTCATGGGACTGTATCTGTTTACAAGGGGTTTGAATGCATCCGCACTGGAAAACTGCAAAATATAAAATAGTTTGGATGCCTCTTCTTTTAAAGAAAGACACCATACTTTTAGAATAATAAAAACTGGATTTTCTGCATAAATGAATGAAGAAAAATATCATCGGCATTTGTAATGCATTTTCAATCTCATTCTATCCCATAGAACCCTCATTTAGAATTTTCACTAAAGCCTGCGCAGCTCTGGAATAGAGATCAGCAGATCAAATTGCCTTATGGCTAAACATGATCCATAAGTCCAGTTTAAAAAAAAAATTAGCCATCTGCAAATCACACTGTGTGTAAGGAGTGCAATACATATATTTTTGTCTCTGCTTGGTCTGTTTCTCACAGACATCGATATATCTGATTAAAATTTGCTAAGTAAAAAAAAAAAAAAGAAAACAGAGCCTTAGAAAAAGAATATTAAAAAATATTAGTAAATGGTACATGTATTGAATGGACAACAAACAGGCACATGTATGAAAAACTGAACAGTTATGGACTTTTGTAGCAATCTGCACAGGAAAACATGGATACATCAAGTACATGTTCAGCTTTGAAATATCAAGAACTATATCTGATCTGTACTGGTGATGAAGATGCCACTATCCACATGCTCATTATCATGATAAAAGACCTGCAAAAGGAAACTGTAAAGATGTCACATGATTTTTTCTTTAGATTTTAAGTTGGCTAAACAATAAAAATCTTACCATCATGGATTTTGGTGCCACTTCCACAGCAAAAACAGCAAGTCCCCTATTACTTAGGCAGTTCTTACTCTGCTCATTGTTGACATGAATAATCACTTTGTTTTCAGACTGCAAGTGAAAAAACATGAAGGAACCCATTAGTCTTAATGGTTAAGTGGCTGCTCTTTATGTAACAACTACACATTCCTCTTACTTCCTCTGGCTTTGCTATTTTATAGGATAGAAATGCTTTAAGGATGCCGATGTCTACTCTCTTTGAAGAGTAACAGTTTCAAATGTACCTTAGCATCTTCAGAGCCCAGATCCATTGTCAAAGTCATTTAAGACTTGTTGAAATAACTTAAGCACTTACTAAGTCGCAACTTGGGAACACCATTTAGTGAGAAAACTATTTGCCACAGTATGTTACAGATTCTAACAGTTTACATAGTTTCAAAAGGTGACTGGACAAATTCATATTAGATTTTAAGTAGAAAGAAAATATTTCTGTCTCAAGCAGTCCTTGAACTGCAAATCACTAGAGGAGAGGATAGGGATCTGGAGAAGTGTCACTGGATGCTTGCCCAATTTGTGTTTGCAACATCCCCGACAGGCCATTTCTTAAGACTTCATTAACAGAGATTTTAAAAAACATTTGACAAAATTAATATAAGTATATCACTTAAAGAACAGATGCTCTTGCTAAAGCTGTGCAAGAAGGATCCAATGTATAAAACTGAAAGCTTGGGTAACAGAAAATTCTTTAACCACCAATTTATCCCAGGCAATACTCAGACACAAGACCTAAGGATATGCTACTATACCCCACTATTCAGTTGTCTCTAGATAACTCTCAATTTGACAGAGACTCTGGGAAATAAACGTTTGATTCTTAGACAACGATATCAAACAATCTCTCTGTATTGAGAAATAGAATAGAAACACAGTTACTTTACACAATCAGTCTTACGCAGCAAAGAAGCTACTACTAGACTGGCAAGGACTGACCTAAAAAAAAAAAAAAAGGAGCTATCTCTGGTGCTCACAGTACAAAGGGTTTGTGGACAGCAGAGTGCAAATACCCTAATTCCTGAAATATGGTATCGTTGCAGAAATGTAAACACAATCTAGTGTTAAGCTGCGTATTACTTTGATCTAGCTGCTCTGGCATCACTTTGGTGAAGTCCTCATTTCTACATGGCATAAGTGAGATAAAGGCAAACAAAAGAATTCTCTGTACAGGAAAATACTTTTGGCAACAGCAACAAGGTCACAGATATTCATCTAGCACAGAGGGTATATTATAGTAAGTTTGTGCTTTGGATGATAGGAAATGCCTCATTAGCTATTTATTTTGGCATATAAATAGACCTGGTACTGCTTACTCCCTGAGAAATTTGAGGCTCTGTATGCAAGGTCTTTTAATCTTCCCAGCTCACACCCTGACGAGGGAGGGTTAGAAGACAGACCTTCCTCTACCCACTGACTAAATACATATGCAAGACTAAAACAGAATCCCTCAGGAATTAGCATATTTCCTTAATTTAATTACAGAAATAACAAACAATTATTTCCATTGAAATCATCAGTACAATAACTGAAGATATAACCAGTCTGCTTGCACTGCAGGAAGCTTAGAAGACGACAGATGCATAAAACTGCCTTTTTATTATTTCTTTCCAGACATTTACAATACAAAAAAGCCTCCAGTCTACAAATTCTAATGAGATTTTCAGGGAAGTGCAACTATTTGCTTCAACGCAGAACAGAGGTATTTATGAAACCTAAATGGTATAAATGACAGTGGTCAGTGATTTTAATCAGACAGCATCCAGTTGCCTCAGTACAGACCTCATCTCCTTCTCTGACATATCCCCAAACATATAAATAACTCCAGTATACCTACCCTAAAGGGCGAAGTGCAGATCTAAACCCGTAGTTCCAAGGAGCCTC